TACTACTGATGGTAAACACAAAGCTGTTCATATCATACTAAGAAACAACAAAGTCAATTTAGAGATTCCATGATAAGAATATTAATGTCATTCCTAGCTATACTTACACAACTTATGTTTAAATGTAGAACTGTGTGTAATTCTTATCAAAAATTTGTAGATTATTTAATTTATACCAATTTTAAAAAATGCAAAATTTACTTGGCTTGTGCATCAAACATTCTTGTTTCATTTAAAATCTCGAACCCAGCTTCTAACTCTCCAATCTGTCGTTTTATTTCAAAGTCTAATAAGAAAAACAAAAAGTTGTTTTAAAAATATTCAGAAAGTGTGTTTCAGATATCAAATATTAGGCCCTTCATCACTGAATATTACATTTACTACATAGAACGAAATGTTAATAAAAGCCACAAGTGTTAAAATCACAAGAAGTAAAGGTTACAATATTTTAAAAAAGAGCAAAAATACTAACACTTTTAGAAGTAAATGTTACAATACTTAAACAAAAGCTAATAAAGAATGAGACCTAATATGCTAGGAAGATTTTACGGCAGATTTATGTTTGTTAGAATGAAAAAAATCCTGTGAAATAAACTTGTTACAAATCAATACACTGGAAAACAAAAATCTATAATGCTTAAAATGTATGGAATCATCAACTTGGTGCCTCACAAAGCTGTTGATATTACCCTAAGAAACTAAAACAAGTACCTTTGGTGATTCCCTCACAAAGCTGTGTATATAATACAAAGAAACTAAAACAAGTACCTTTGGTGATTCCCTCACAAAGCTGTTGATATAATACAAAGAAACTAAAACAAGTACCTTTGGTGATTCCCTCACAAAGCTGTGTATATCATACTAAGAAACTAAAACAAGTACCTTTGGTGATTCCCTCACAAAGCTGTTGATATTACCCTAAGAAACTAAACTAAGTACCTTTGGTGATTCCCTATTATTCACTCGTTCTTTAACATTGTTACATTATTCACTCATTCTTTAACATTGTTACATTATTCACTCGTTCTTTAACATTGTTACATTATTCACTCATTTTTTGTAAAACTACAAATGATCCAGATTTAAGGTTCTTCTAACTTTTACATAGCTAACTTTTGTAACAAAGAACCATGTTCACACAGCTGTAAGAATATCTCATACAGTAATAAAGAACCCACTTCATAGGCTAACACACAGAACCACATTCTCACTCTACAGACTAACATAAAACGACATTATTACTTACAGACTAACACAGATTCACATTCTATAGAATAAGACAGACTTTTATAAAAGGCTAAAGTTCATCCATAAACTTATCATACTTAAGTAAGTTATAACATTTAGCAATGTGTCAAATGTAATGCACTTTTATTTTCATAACATTTTAAAAATATATAATGTATAAATGTATGAAGTTATTTTTCTAAGGTCATTTCTATATCACACTATATGGTATACATTATTCTGGTCAGCACTTCTGTTAATCAAAAAACAATCACTATAACCCAGCAACATTCAATACAAGTCCATTTATATATTCCTTCAAAAGGCTTTTAGTGTCATTCTAAGAAACTAAAACAAGTACCTTTGGTGATTCCCTCACAAAGCTGTTGATATAATACTAAGAAACTAAAAAAGTACTTTTGGTGATTCCTTGTAACAATGTTAAAGAATGAGTGAATAATGTAACAATGTTAAAGAATGAGTAAATAATGTAACAATGTTAAAGAACGAGTGAATAATGTAACAATGTTAAAGAACGAGTGAATAATGTAACAGTGTTAAAGAACGAGTGAATAATGTAACAGTGTTAAAGAACGAGTGAACTGCTTATGGATGTACAATGATTATAACAAGTTAGAGTACAACACTGAGGTTTGGATTTCAAGGTGACTCCTTATGGATGTACAATGATTATAACAAGTTAGAATACAACACTGAGGTTTGGATTTCAAGGTGACTGCTTATGGATGTACAATGATTATAACAAGTTAGAGTACAACACCGAGGTTTGGATTTCAAGGTGACTGCTTATAGATGTACTTTAACAATGATAGCTAAGAGTTACAATGTCACAATAAGATATCAATGTGATAATGATTAAGGATTTGAAATAATCAACGAACCCAATTAAACATTGGCACTTTTCCCAAACAAGAATGGTAAATTTAACAACAGTCAATGTAGCTATAAAACCTTGATTCAGTGTTCCAAAAATTATTGAAGACCAAATATTTGTACAAGTCTTTCTTAATCTTCAAACAGCTATTAGGAGATCAACAATATCTGTTAGGAGATAACAACAACAGGTGTTAAGAGGTATACACAACAGCTGTTTCATCTTCTTATTTCACTGATAAAACAAACCACAAACTTGTATATAAATGTATGAAAGTAATACAGCGTTTCGTTTTGTTTCTATAGTAGTTCTTCAAAAACACTAGAGAAAATGAGAACAAGTTAATGAAGCACATAATATCTTTAAAACTGACAATATTACTTAAAACATTCTAACTGAATTAGTTCAAGATGTTAAACTAGTTTATTATAAAACTGAATACTGTAATATTACCTTTCTCTAAAGGTTAAATTCTTATCATTCAGTTGAGACATTACTTCACTCAGAAGAAAATTAGTTGCTATTTTTACATTTTTCTTTGGTTGATTCAGAACAGCACAATAAAACTCTTCAAGTCCAGTTTCATTCTAGAGATAAATAATATAATCCAGTATCTAACAATGTTTGAAGATGATCAGACATACATCTTGTTAATTTTCACTCTAGAGATAAATAGTGTAATCTCGTATCTAACAATGTTTGAAGATGATCAGACATCTTGTTAAGTTTCACTGTAGAGATAAATAGTATAATCCAGTAACTAACAATGTTTGAAGATGATCAGACATACATCTTGTTAATTTTCACTCTAGAGATAAATAGTGTAATCCAGTATCTAACAATGTTTGAAGATGATCAGACATACATCTTGTTAATTTTCACTCTAGTTTCTAATAATGTTTGAAGATGATCAGACATCTTGTTAACATTCACTGTATAGATAAATAGTGTAATCTCGTATCTAACAATGTTTGAAGATGATCAGACATACATCTTGTTAATTTTCACTCTACAGATAAATAGTGTAATCCAGTATCTAACAATGTTTGAAGATGATCAGACATACATCTTGTTAATTTTCACTCTACAGATAAATAGTGTAATCTAGTTTCTAACAATGTTTGAAGATGATCAGACATCTTTTTTAATATTCACTCTAGAGATAAATAGTATAATCCAGTATCTAACAATGTTTGAAGATGATTAGACAAATCTTGTTAACATTCACTCTAGAGATAAATAGTGTAATCCAGTATCTAACAATGTTTGAAGATGATCAGACACACATCTTGTTAATTTTCACTCTAGAGATAAATAGTGTAATCTAGTATCTAACAATGTTTGAAGATGATCAGACATCTTGTTAATTTTCACTCTAGAGATAAATAGTGTAATCTAGTTTCTAATAATGTTTGAAGATGATCAGACATCTTGTTAACATTCACTGTATAGATAAATAGTATAATCCAGTATCTAACAATGTTTGAAGATGATCAGACATCTTGTTAACATTCACTGTATAGATAAATAGTGTAATCCAGTATCTAACAATGTTTGAAGATGATCAGACATACATCTTGTTAACATTCACTCTAGAGATAAATAGTGTAATCTAGTATCTAACAATGTTTGAAGATGATCAGACATACATCTTGTTAAGTTTCACTCCAGAGATAAATAGTGTAATCTAGTATCTAAGAATGTTTGAAGATGATCAGACATACATCTTGTTAAGTTTTACTCTAGAGATAAATAGTGTAATCTAGTTTCTAATAATGTTTGAAGATGATCAGACATACATCTTGTTAAGTTTCACTCTAGAGATAAATAGTGTAATCTAGTTTCTAATAATGTTTGAAGATGATCAGACATCTTGTTAAGTTTCACTCTAGAGATAAATAGTGTAATCTAGTATCTAACAATGTATTGCCTAATAACCTAAGCAATTATAATAATAACTCAAAACTTACCACAATCAACATGGCTTGTTCTAATGAAATTCCATACTTCTGAATGAGTCGGTGACGAGCTTGCTCAGGAAGCTCACAGAGGTTATCCCGCATGTCATTTATACTAATGACATGTGCAGACTTATCATCTTTTGATTGGGAGAGCCTTAAAGGTGGAAGGTTGGGTTCAGGCATGTACCTATAATCTTGAACTACTTCTTTGTCTCTCATTGGCACTGTCTGTCTGCAATGATTTATATAAAAAAATGAACAATGAAGTGAACAAAACTTTTTACTGTTTTTTTTAAATCAAAAATGACAGTGGAGCTTAAAACATTAGGTAGGTTTCATGTTTTAACACTTGCTTATTTACTCATTTTTTAACATTGTTACATTATTCACGCATTCTTTAACATTGTTACATTATTCACGCATTCTTTAACATTGTTACATTATTCACTCATTCTTTAACACTGTTACATTATCACCTTGAAATCCAAACCTCAGTGTTGTTCTCTAACTTGCTGTGATAATGTTTTTAATATACATCCATAAGCAGTCACCTTGAAATCCAAACCTCAGTGTTGTTCTCTAACTTGCTGTGATAATGTTTTTAATATACATCCATAAGCAGTCACCTTGAAATACAAACCTCAGTGTTGTTCTCTAACTTGCTGTGATAATGTTTTTAATATACATCCATAAGCAGTCACCTTGAAATCCAAACCTCAGTGTTGTTCTCTAACTTGCTGTGATAATGTTTTTAATATACATCCATAAGCAGTCACCTTGAAATCCAAACCTCAGTGTTGTTCTCTAACTTGCTGTGATAATGTTTTTAATATACATCCATAAGCAGTCACCTT